TTAGGGTTTTTTTCTAATGCTCTGATACCATGTATATGTCTTATTGAATTTTATGGCCTTATGCATACAAGTTAATAGAAGCAATACAAAGAAATACAATAAATTTCAAAGAAGGGGTGTATTACTAGTTTACCTCTACCCAACATAACCTACACTCTAACTTAATATACACTTCTTAACAATAGTGTCTAATATTTTCACTACTGCTAGTTTTAAGAAGATTAGGAATTATGAGAGGTAACACATTAAATAAATCTAAGTTACTTTAATTTTCCCCTACATGTTAATAAGTTAAATAAAGCACTGGTTAAAAGTTATACATATTCCCAAATCATTCTGTTCATAAATGAGAAACGTACTAGTTGCGCATAAAAATCTTCCACTACAGCGCCATTGATTTGCAGAAGCATCAATTGGAGATGAGCTTTAGATCTATACAATATCCGAGCAACAAGAGATACAGTGTCAGCACCGGCACATCTTTCCTGCCAATAAGTGCAAGTGCTTGTAAGCATATATTTCCATAACAATGTTTTTATCCCCACGATTGGATTCCTTATTACTATTATTCTTTTCAAATAAAAGAAATATAAAATGTATCATTAAATACAAGCACTAAAGAGGTGTAAACCCATGTAAAAAAAAAAAGAAGCTACTGCTCAAAGCAAACAAGACACCGGTATAGGTTTGGTAGAACATAAGAAAAGATAAGATTCAGTAAAACCTGTGAAAGAAAGAAAAAATACCATGCTTCCATGACTTCATATTTAGAATACATGCTTAATGGTCTGCATAAGACAATAAAGATACTCTTTACCAGTGGTAAGACAAATATAAAAGAACATACTAAACAGAAGCATCTGTTCGTTATAACACTATTTTCTTTTTTATGTTTCTAGTAAGTTAATAGATTCAAAAGAAGAAAGAAATTTTTTCCAGACACACTTTAAGACACCCTTGTAAGCTGGCAACAAGAAAACTACACCTGCTCACTTTTCAAGATACATAAGTACACCAATCTTGTTGCTGACAGACCATGTATCTTAAAGGAATAAAAAAATGTCAAAAAATTGCTGTCCCATTTTTCTAAAATAGTTGATTTCAATAGAGCCAACAACCTTTCACAAATCAGCATGTAAGCAGCTCTAAGCCAAGCAACTAGCATCCACCAAAAGGCCATAATATGTTTTCCTCTGCTTATCTCTCTCAAACAGAAACTAATATGTTTTACACTATGTCAAGGTAAAGATAGTCTTCTAGGCTGTCCAAATATGTTATAAAAAGGCCTCTGTCTACATCTTTGAACACTATGTAGTCCAGAATCCCCTTTTGCAAAAGAAAAACATCATTTCCCAGTAAAATTGGGTAAGGCAAGGAACAAAGTAGAGCATAAACTAAGGTTAGGTGAAATGTATCACATACTGAATTAAGCACTACCTGCCTAACATACATTTTGGCAGAAAAAGCTGAATGCAACCATTGTTGCTTTGTTGACAAATATCTTCACCAATATCTTGACACTAAAAGTATATAAAAGAAGAAATACCTTCAGACCAAAAGCTGTGCTTGATTGAATACCAAAACTTGTACTTGGAGGATTCGTGGGTGTCACATCCCCATGCGTGAATGATGCATTTACAGATGGTGGCAAAGTGGCAGAAAATGATGCTGACTGAGGTTTTATCCACTGTTCACAATCTTGAGATATTCTAGATAATGCTGCCTTCAACCTATCTGGGCAACATAAACAGATATCATCAAGAGTATAGTGCAAACCATGTAGATTGGACGAACGGGGAGCAAGCAAGGAGGGGGAGAAGGGAAGAAAAGATTAACTCACAACTGAGAGAATCACCATGCCCTTTTCCACTTGAACTACTATTTTGTTGACCAAATACTTCAAATACATAATAGAAAAAAACCTCAAACAACTGGCATATACCCTGCAAAAGTATACTGAATCAGGAGAAACAGTTTAGAGAATGAAAAAATGAAAGCATTATCTAAGCTTGCATAAAAGACAATTATAGAAGAAAGAACATACCTTAAAGAACTCAACATTTACAATTTCTAATTTCTGCATGAGCCTTGCATACTTATCCATAGACCTAACATGCATACAGTTTAATGCATTAATTGAATAAGAACATAATCAACACTCTAGTGACTTAATGAGCCACTTCATTCGATCCTATTTTCAATGGTAATAAAGCATAAACCACCTTAGAAGACATAGCGATGATCCTGTTTGTGCTGTAGTATCATCACCATTCCAATGCGAAGAATGCCTTTTTGAATTATTGGGTTTTGAAATTCGACTTGGGAGTTGACTGTCCTCATCAATAAAATCTGCAAGAAGATCCTCATTTTCGTCTTCTGAAAAAGAATTAGAGCCATTCACATGCTTGATATCACTTCTACATGGAGAGGCCTTCTCTCCATCAACATTACCATCAACACTCCCATCATAATCACCAGAGTTTGTTCCATTATGTCTGGAGTAACTTTGGCCTTCTCTGGAACCAAGTATTAATTTTGTTGAAAATGGATTTCCACTTTTTACCCAATGGGAAAATCCACTCTTCTTGACACCCGAATCTATTGAGTCCGCTATCTTATTTGGGCAAAGCATTTTATTTCGAGAACTAGTGGCACTACCATCAGACAGAGCAATTAAGGGTGCTCCATCACCAACAAGCCCAGCAAAGTTAATTACTTGTACAGTATTTGGTGGCAATCTGAGCCAAGTCTCCTTCTCCAAAACCATTTTAAGAGCCTGAAAGGGACAAACAAATAATTCTGTCAAGTTACAAGAAAAGGACAGTTGAAAATAGAATCTGAAGTGTGATCAAACATGATGCAGGAAGGAATAATTAAGGCAAACTATACTTCCCTTTGTCAATAGTAAAATGATTGAGAAATTCTGGAACGTGGAAGCTCCCCCTAAAAGGCTTGTGCTTGGACTGCTATTCTCAACAGAATTAAACAAATTATTTATTGCAAGTTCGCAGGCCAAATCATGCTCTCTCTCCAGATAGTTGTGTTATGTGTTTCAGAGGAAGGAATTTCAAGCTCACTTATTCCTTCATTCTGACGTGGCTTAAAAACTTTAATTATTGCATTATTTGATCTCTTTATTTCATGTGGGTTTCTACCCTTTTCTTGTCTGCCTTGTGAGTTGTCTCCTAAAGGAATAGGGTAAAGAAAGAAGCTAGAATCCTCTATAGAGGAGCCCTTACTGCTTTGTGGCCTCTGTGGTTTGAGTGTAACCAAAGAATTTTCAAGGACTTCTATTTCTCTTCTTAGCTTCTTTGGTAGGAGATTAACTTTCTTCACCTCAATACTAAAATAGTAGGTTACTCTAAGATGACCTCTAAAGACAGTGCGCTTGTATGTCAAACAATACTAAATGAATTAGACACCTAATAATATGAGGCAACCGTGAGAGGTTAATAGATGCATACAATTATTTAAGGCATAACAATATTTTTCTTTTCGGGATGAAGGCATAGTAATTTTTGCAAATAAGGGGTGAGTGAATAATTCATATGAAAGATAAATTTAAGAAGATCGGGTAAACAAGGTATGCAATCTAACTTACATATATGTTTTGTCGGTGAAATGCTACAAAATAATTTTCACAAACACCCTTCAACTTCTGCCTAAACTCAGTAGCCTCAACTCCACAAAAAGCTTCCCCAGCTAGGATGAAGACATTCAAGTCTTCATAATTTTTCAAGAATTGATGTATGCTTGTTGATGAGGCAGCAGCAGAAGAAAGCAAAACTGACAAACGGCTAGTTGTAAGTTGCCAAAGATTTTTCCTTCCCCTTTGAAGGGTGTGTGACACGAATGCTGCAGCTTCTTTCCGAAGCTGATACCATGGTGACCCATCATTTGAGACTGCCATGCGAACATTCCTGACCTCATCGACTGCATCTTGACATTCTATGCTCATGGAACCAGTGGATTCCTCTGCAGATGAAGGTGGCATTTCATTTCTACTTTCTGATAGCGAGCAGCAAACTTCCTGGTTGCGGGAAGAACTTGTTGCAACTGAATCAATTTTCTGAACCTCTCCTGAATTTATGGGGATATTGCCTTCTCTGTGCTTCATATTAGATTCCTGGTACTCGGAAACCTGTGAGAAGATTTGAAAGTTACATTAACTAAGATTTAAAGGAAAAAAAAACAAGAACAAGTAGATAATAAAGCAAGAGAGAGAGAACAAACAATGTGTAAACATCAATATAAACGGGATACTCAACAGATTCCCTCTGAAAATTGTGAACCGAATATATGAGAAAGCAATTTTTTAGTATTCAAAACTGGAACTTTGTTAATTAAAATTCTGCATTTATCACTAAAATTGCTAAAAGAGATTTCTTTGTATAAGGCATTCTTGTAG